TATCATGTGTTTATAGGAAAACTTAACCTGAATCAATATTTTAATTTCTTTACGATGAATACACCAATATTGACAAAACAACAACAAAGACATTCATTATCAGCAAAAAAAGGATCGGTTAAAGGATTACGAAATGTCTTAGCACAACCTCAAGATCATTATTGGTATGGTAATTTTAATTCATATGTTTTTATAAATAATTATGAAACTATAACTTAATATATATAATTTAATAAATTTTTATTTTTAAATTTATTATCTTATCAAGATTTTTCCTTTTTTTATAACAACTATAATAATTATATGTTATTAGGCCAATTGTAGATTTAGAAAAATGCCCATTATTAGAAGAACTTTTGAACAAGTAAGTTGAAACAATTTTAAAGAAAAAAATAAAAAATATTCATATAAATTAATATCTTTTATAATAAATATAATAAAATATAATAAATATATAGATTAATGCCAGCTATAAAGCGGCCATCTCATTCAATTCCATGGTCACAACTTAGACATATGAAAAAAGCAGAACGTGTACAAGCTAAAAAAGAAGCACTTCAAAAAGATGAAAATATATCAAATTCAGAGCTAATGTAAGTATTTTGAAACATATTAATATTTTTTTGATATGCATTATATATTGATATATATAAATTTTTAAAACTTGAACCTTTTTAGAAATTCTGTGATCTTAGGCATAAATGCTATCACAAGATCTTTAGAGAAAAATAATGTTTGTTGTATTTTAATGGATGCAAACATTTCACCACCACTTTTAATAAAGCATATTATTCATATGGCACAAAATAAAAAAGTGCCTTTATTATTATTATCTAAATTAAAGTCTATAACATTACACACTATAGGATTTGCATCTGCTGCATATGCCTTAAAGGTAAAGTTATTTGAAATATACAAATAATATTAATCTAATTTTATTTTATTTTTATAATTTAAATTGCAGAATGTTGTGATGGATTCTGTAGATCATCATTTTCATCCTTTATATGTAACAATATGTGATATTTTTAAGGATATACCTGCACCAAAGAATAAACTTCAATTATTCCAAGATATTGAAACATCAGAACAAATCACTTTAGATGAAGAAAATAAAATAGATGTTCAAAATGAACTTCAGATTGAATCTTCAGAACCAATTAAATTTACAATATCTACAGATGTATATTTGTATAGATCTTCACGTAAAGAAAGAGTATTTATTCCACCTAAATCAAAAGAAAATTCCACAAAAGAATCTAAAGATACAGAACAAAATGATTTTATTTCTGTAACTAATTATGATTCTGATGAGTTTGATACAAACATTAAGAAAAATACAAGATATATCAATATTTGTGAAAAAAAAGCATTCAAAAAATGGAAAAGATCATACAAAAATAAATAATGTATCTTCAAATGTCAAATATTTACCTTTGAAAGTTAAACGTTTACAAGGTAATATTAATCGCATAAAATCTACAAAAGTAAATAAAAAAAGACAATAATATAAAAAAAAAAATTAATATAATTAAAGATTTTTTTATTGTACATGTTAATAAATATTGAATATATAAATACAATTTTTATTTCATTAAATTAATAAATCTTATACATATAGTATGCATATGGTATAATGTTATTTATAATAACAAAACTATTTTTATTATTTATATATATAATATATACAAAAACTGCATTTTTCATATAACTCAATTATAGCATTTTTAATTTTTTACTTTTTATAACAAAAATGTTTTTATTTTTATTAATTATTTAAAATATAAACAAATTTATTATTATTACTAATTATATATATATTAACTATGTATATTCTGGCCAAAAAAGCCTCAAAGTCTTAATATTGTTACATTATTTATTATTTATTATTTGATTATGTACTATAATAAATCAGTCTTTTGTACATATCAAATCCACATAAAAAACATGTGTTTTTCACTTGTTTATAGAAATTATATATTTTTTATATATAGAATTTTATAAAATATTATAATTAAAGATACAAAGAATATTTATTTCACGTATATTTAATACCTAAGAAACTATAATATCACACAGGCAATGTAGAATTTACAGAAGATTTGAACATTCTTGTAAAAAACATTAGACCTTTTGTTCCTCCTGGTATATGACTTACTAAGAATGATATCATAGCTATTAATTGTAAAACAGCACACAATACTGTTAATGGTGTAGATTGTAAATGAAGGGCACAATAAAGTGTTCCTATCAAAGTTGCAAAATAAGACACACTAAAACACCTTCTTTCAGCAGTAAATAATGATTTTAAATAACTCAATGGACCCAAAAGAAAGCAAAAGCTATAAAAATTTTTTTAATATAATTTTAATATTTGCAAATTTGCTTATATTATCTTTATATAATTATATTTTTATTCATAAATTTACCTTGATAAAAAGAAAACGCTTCCTAAGGTGTACAAAAGTGCAAATTTTCTCGCTTTTAATAGTAAAACTGGAATATAAATCGCCGACAGACAGAAGCAAAGTACACCCATAGAAAAGCATACAACAAATGCTATTAGTCTTTGTATTCTTGTCTGTCAAAAAAAAAGAAATTTGCGATGTTTTTAAAAACATTTAGTAGTTAGGTTATTATATTAACAATAAAATGTATATACGAACCATACTAGGACAACATTCCTTTTGTGCTCCTTGAATCCATCCTGTTTCTTCTTTGTCTTCTTCACTTTTTCCGAACCATTTTCCAATATTTGTTTTTGGTATTGTCACCGCAGGTACGGTAATTTTAAATTGTTTCTCATTTTTACTGCTAAGAAGATATTCATTTAGTTCTTTGTTAAGATCGGCCATTTTGACACGTCGTCATACTTTATGTTTACACGATTATATACACAAATTACAAACAACAATTTTCATAAGTTATTTTTCTTCATAATATTTATTAAATATTAATCTGAAAATATGACATATTGATTACTATTTTCATAATATTATGAAGAAAATATATATATGTAGTACTACAGCCATAGATTAAATATGGAATAGATCTAGTATTGAATAATTTTGAAATAATTTAGAAGCTATATAAAAAATATATTTTACATATATTTATTTTTATACATCTTTTTAAGTTTTTATGTTATATAATATATATAATATGTCACTATATATAATAACTTAATATACATATATTAGATATACAAAGTAATTTGGTAATTGATGATATAATCGAACAGAAGATAATTTTATGTGTAAAAAATTCCATTAAATAATAAGTTTATTCTATTTCCTACCTGTTATTAGTTGTATTTGTATACTTTGATAAAATATATTTTACGACAGAAAATGTCCAATATTTAATACATTTTTTGTCTTAAGCTTCAAAAAGACTACTTATCGATATTTATTTTTTATAATAAAGATTAAAACACATTATTTTAAAAAAAGAATGATGAAATGATGTGTTCAATTGATTTTGTATCTCATCTATAATCAGATATTAAGCATAAGTAGTACTTTCCAAACAAGGAAAACAAATAGTCAAAAAAAAACAGATATGATAAAAATATAAGAATCAGCGCCATCTGTCGAATGTTAAAAATCATATTTCTTCAAAGCTAGAATAAAGTAGAGTAAAAATTGAATTTATCTCTTGAATAGTTCTAAAAAATACTTTTGATACTCAAGAGATGGCGCAAATTGTCAATTCTTTGTATAAACGTGTAAATGTATCAAATTCTAATATAATTAGAAGAAAATAATTAATAAAAATAATGAAAAAAATAATTAGATAGAAAGTGATACATGAAATTTTTCCAAATTTTTTTAAATTCTTCAAATTTAAAAATTTTTGCTGAATTTTGTTTGATTTTGTATTAAAAAAATATAATAGAAAATGATATGATGCGAAAATTTCTTAGTATTTTTAAAAACATAAATTTTAAGTGCGAAATATTATTTTCATTTCACATCAGTATTATGAAGATAATAATACTTCGATATGATCTATAAAAAAATATTGGACAATATAATTGAATTAAAAAAAATGATGAAAAAATAATTTTAGGTTATTTTAATTATCTTTTAAGTCAATAATAGGGAAATTGATTGAAAAACAATCTGTTGTGAGTTTTCAAACTTACATTTATTTAAACAAATCAACATTGACCTCATATTTACGGGTTGTATACTGCATTTGTTGCACAGGTAATGCATCACTCTATTACGCAAGATCTATGTCGCGTCCTGCAACGCGTGGCATCATTTTGGGATTATTTGACAAAAAATCAAATATTGGGGACGGGGGAGACTGAGTATCGACAGTACTCTAATTAGGACTAGAGAAATTCGACTAGAAAAAAATGAGCGGTTGATCGTGCTCGCGTAATATAATAATAATAATAGTGGTAATAATAATAATAAATAATATTCAATAATAATGATCGTGATAATAAAGCTAATAATACTCACAATAATGATAATACTTCTCGGAGTTATAATAAATATGATAATATTAATACATCAGCAATAATAATAAGCACAACGTAACAATAATCAGGGACATAAGTAACATAAGTAACAAATCGATCACATTCGAATACAGTACACACTACGAACCGTTTTTTTAATAGGTTCATTATCATTTCGCATTTTTTTTTGTCATTTAATGATTTTATCGCTATATACGTACTGATCACGGTCACTCGATCTCTCGATTATACGATATATGGAATGAGATTGCTAATTATTCAACACGAAGGCTCCTAAAATCATTCTCATACCGCGAAATTAATCATTTATTTTTGTCAGGATTAAAGTACTTATTAATTACATCGTCGGGTATGTAATGTACGTGTGTATGCGTTAACACGCGCATATTTGTGTACTGTATGTATGCATGTATGTATACAATATATGTTTATTTATATATATATATATATTAATTTTTTTTTCTGTTTCATCTCCAAACATGACCCACTATGTGGAACATATGAATGTATGTATGTGTCCGAGTGTATTATGTATTGTTTATGTATATGTATTACCCGCGTGTTTTTCATTAATTATATATTTTGGCTTTGTCTGTTCTCTTAAATTTGTTTTTTTTCCTTTCATTTTTTTTAACGCTAATGGCAGCACAGATACAATATTATTCTTCTTTTTTTTTTCATCTTCTTTGTTTTACACTGTAGCATTTTAACGTGTCCGAGTCTTTTCTTCTTAAATAGAAATAACATGTTATGAATCACTTTGTAAAGCGCGTTTAAGCGGTTCCTTCCTTTGCACAATGGAACCGTTAAAATCGCCGCCATTCGGGATGGTAATTACGCAATTAATACGCTATGTATACATTTATACAGTACGCAATGAATACGCCAGAATTAATTATTGTATGCACTACGAAGGAAAGAACCTATATTTATGTATATTATGTATACGTGTGTACTTCGAGAAGAAACGAATTGCTATGCAGCGCATTATTATAGTACGTTTAATATAACTAGCGTGGCTCCTTCCTCTTTCTCTTTTCTTGTCCCTTTCCTTTTATTTATTTTTTATTCTATTCTTCTTTTCGAATTTATTTCACTATTCGGCGAACTGATCGTGTTTCGTCGTCTTTTTACCATCTCGCGAGAAAATATAATCATCGCAAAACGATGATTATCACATGACATTTTAAACGCAAAAAAGGAACAATTTTCGAACACGATGCAGCGATCAGAAACGCATCGTACAGCATCCTTCTCGACGCCACGCATTTTTAATACGATTCGTTCTCTAAACGCATCGACGAATCAGATTTGCGTATTGATCTCGAGAATTTTTAATCGAAAAAGGATCTATGTTTCCTATACAAAGAGTATTATCTTATATCAGTGTGTGCAGCTAGAGCGATCATAAACAATAAATGCAACAGCCTTTGTCTCGTTAAAGTATTAATAATAATTTATCAACTATCAGTTATTGGCTACAACAATCGGTATTCTTAAATAGTATACGCAGCTAAGAAAAAATAATTAATAGTCGAAATAAGAGAAATAGAGAGAGAGAAAGCTCGTACATCTAAAATAATGAAAGTATTTTAGGGGACAGTTCATATAGGTACATGCCGGATATACATAAGTAAGTATTACTATATGTAACTATAATGATCGTGTGTGTATATGAATGCGTATATATGTATGAATGTGTAAGTTTGTATATATATGTGTATGTGTTCGTCGAATTATTAAAAATCGGTGGAGCCTTCGAAGGAATAATATAAATTGAATCATTTTAAAAGCGCTTCTATTAGCTAATGATTTACACTAGAATAATCCTAACCTCTGAACGAAGAAATGCATGTGGGTGCGTCACAGTTTCTCGAGATCAAACGTAATCCTTCGTCGAGTCGACGAAAGAAAGATAGATTGCTAGCCACGGATAAATTGCCAACTAATTAAATATATTATCGATCAAATGCAACTAATGGCGTATAATTATCTGTTGACTGCCCCCCCACCCCCTTAAACTTACAAATACCTAAGTGAGAATTTCTCGTACGCTATGCAACGGTAAAATCAGGCGCGCAGTACATTAGACATTGTTTAATTTCTCTTTTTTTTTATGTAAATATGATGTATGATATCTGTTGTAGTTTTTCGATTTTTTTTTTCTTAAATTTGTTTCTCGTTTTATTTTGTATATACGATCTTGTTTCAGAACCCGCATTTTATAGAAAAAAATTCGCGAGTACGAAATCGCGCGTAAACACGCAAAAAAAAAAAAAAAGAAAAAAGGGAATTATCTTTTTCTAGTTTTTTAATTTTTTTTTTGGTTTTCTCTTTTTCGCTCTTTTCTTTTTCTCTCGCTTTTTATTCGCTTCGTCTTTTTGTTTCTCGCGCGATTCTTACGCAAGCTCGTCGTTGACATTTCTTTTTTTTTTCATTAAATCTCTTTTTTTTTATTTATTATTTTTTTTAATCTATCATACTCTCTTTCTTTCACTTTCTCTCGATTCCTTTCTCTCCATTCCTTTCTCTCCTTCTTTCTTACTTTATACTTTTTTTTTATTCTTTAGAAAATAATTTTTATCTCTGTGAATTTCCTTTTTGTATCTATTTTTTTTCTTTTTTTTTAATTTTTTTCTTGTTTCTTTTTGCACCGACAGCGTTAAGAGCCGCACGAGTAAACAACAGAATCGATCTCGATCTCGAGGAACGAGTAAGTTTTGAAGTTATCATTTTCGTTCTCGAATATCGAATCGGAAGCATTGGTTTTTATTCGTACGGCCAATTATTAGAATAATATAACTCCCGCAAGACTTTGTATTTTTTTTTTTTTTTTTTTTAGTATTTTTTTTTAGATTTTTTTTAGATTTTTTTTCTTTTCTTTTATTCCAGACATCAGCGACGTAGAACCGCCTCTATGGTGCTTGCAAGAGGTTCTCAACACGAGACGACATCGAGAAACCGCGAGGGAAATGAACGGGCAAACGAAAAAATTCGGATCCGAAGTCGTTTGGGAGGAAGTCCCGAGTTACTACAAAAAATTCTTCTTTTTTTTTAACAAAACGCTTCACTTTTGTCCTTTATCTTTCTATCTTCTTCTTTCTGTTTTCCCCTTCTTTTGGCATACACGATATAATTACGATCACGCGCATTACACAACTGTGCTGTTAGATACATAGTTTGCCTCGTATAATTTAGAATTATAGCTATCATACATTATTAAAAATATGTACAAAATCTGTGTGTATGTGTATGCGTGTATCCATGTAAGTAGTATCTCTGTTGTAAATATGCATGGAAAATGTTCTCGGCAGTTAACGTGCACATTACTTTGAGTATATCGAACATCGCAAAGTAACACGCGTGCTAAGTGCCTCGTGAATAAAAATGCTCGTGTTCTATGATTCTCTGTGTCGATGTTTTTCCCGTGTAAATGTTCACGTGACACGTTTCGAAGCACTGTTTTTAGTCGGTATATAACATATAGACCGATGGATGAATCGGATGTGTATTGAAATCGAAATACAAAATGCACTTTCAATCGAGGCTTCCTCCGTTCACCAGAGAAACGTCTCTGAATCTCCTTTGCAATAATATCAAAAATCTAAAACGATCGAGTATCGCGGCCAGGAAAGCGGCAAGAGACCGACAAACGTGTGTACAGAGAGCATATATGCGTTTTACAATATGTATACAGTACTCGAAAATCCTCGACGAGCCGCGAGTTCGTCGATTCCACGGTTTAAATACCAGTCAATGGAAAAATGTTTTCGCTACTGAAAAAACATACCCCATAAGTCGTATAATAAGTACGTGCAGCCGTCGATAACGTGGATTAGTTGCTTCTTTTTTTTTTTTTCTTCTTCTCTCCTCCATTTCTTAAATCTTAGTACCCCATTCTTAAATGGCTATTCAATGAACCATAAATATAACCCTAATTAATATTGCACGCGCCGGCACACGGGGATCGCTAAATGTCGTTTTACCTCAGATAGCGGCCCCCTTTTATTATTATTATTATTTTTTTTTTTTTATTTCATGTATGAACTTAATTATGCGTATTATGCATTTGGCGAACGAATCATCTTCCAGACCCTAAAGGGATCTGCTATATTTTTCACTACAACGCGACGATACGTTCACGCGATTCATTCTTCTTGTTCGCGGAAAACAGAAAGGAACGGTGTAACAAAGGTGTCCTTCTCGTCGAGCCCCGACGACTCACCGAACGAACTTTTTTTTAAATACTCTCGTCTCATCCTTGGAACGAGACCGATTCTACACCTAACAACTCTCACAATGCACTTGAATCGTATCGTTCGTTACGTTCCATCTTCCTTTCCATTCGACTTGTTTCGACTTTTCGATCTGACCAGTGATCTTTGATCAGTGACACGCAAACCGCACAGTTCTTGCAACTTTTCTTTCCTTCTCTTTTTTTTTTTTTATTCGGTATTAATATCAACTATACTTAAAGATCTAAGCTCGTGTTATTATCGTTAAATCGGATTTAATCGAATATCGAATACGGTTCGACCCGTCAACGTGGCTGAAAAAGATTTCAGTATCGCCGAGCCGAAAGTATCCTCGTTTATTTGAAGAAGGTTCGCTCACACACGAGGGTTGCCATGATTTTTCTCGATATTCTTCGTTTTGAGTCCTTCCAATGCCGTGATGCGCACATTATTTTATACTACGCGAAGTTGAGTTCCGTCAAATATCCTTTTAATCCCTTGCCTCGATTTTTTGCGTGTATCCTCGGTTTAACTTTCTTTTTTTTCCCCCCCTTTTTCGTTTCACAGAAAAAAATCGTTGACTCTTCGATTACTACCTCGTAATTTCCTCTTACCTTTCGGTACGTGTTCGAAACTTTCTGTTAGTAATAGTAGTAGTAGTAGTAGTAGTAGTAGTAGTAATAGTAGTAGTAGTAGTAGTAGTAATAGTCTTCGTTTTCGTAGGCCAACGATGTAGAATTGCGCCAGCGTGGATAATCGTCGTTAACTTCTCTCTCTCTCTCTCCCTTTTTCTCTCTCCATCGCAACGTTCCCTCTTTCTTCGTCTCGGTTCGCTCTCGTGAATCTCGTGAATCTCTCGTACGATTCGCAGTGCGCTACTCCATCACGCGTCGACGATAAGTGAAGCATAAGCGGCAAATTGAAATTGAAGTTTGAACAGCACGGAAAATAATCTTGTCATCGCAGTTGCACGCAAACTTCAAACGTACGTACACGTTCTAACACCGGTACAAAACACCTAAGCGAGCTAATCGTGAGCGAATCATGCCCTACCCTCCCTCCATCCCTCCCTCCCTCCCTCCCTCCCTCCCATCGAGCACCGAAATTCGTTCCAACGAAGGGGAGGGAGAGGGGAGGGAGATGGAAAGGAGTGCGAGAGGGAGGAAGGGGGCGAAATTAATTATAAAATACCATCGCTTCGATTTCGAGTACCGTTCTACCGTTTCTACCGTCCCCCACTTTTCAAACCGTCGTCACGTATTCCCGCAACTCGGTACTCCTGTCGGCTCCCAAGCCGTCGTTAGCAAACCACGGATCCCCGTACTTGGACGCCTCCTCGCTGCGAGCTCTATTAGGGGCACGTGGCCGTTCACGGGCACGCATGCGGGGCACCTCCTCGCTTAACGACCTCTTCCCAATCCCTATCGTGGCGGGTACCTCTAACAAAGCCTTGGATCTCATCAACTGGGGCCTCTGACGGCTCTTCGCCTCCTCGCTAGCCGCGCGAACGATCACGGTGGGCGGCATCAATCTGTCCTCTCCTCCGACCTGATGACTCTCCGACCTCGCCCGTAGAGCCTTCTTCTTCGACAACCCGCGACCCTTGATCAAGCTCTTCCTCTGAACGGGTTGCGGAGAATATTGTTGCTGTTGTTGTTGAGATCTCTGCCTTTTCACGGGGCTGGCGGGAACCTGAGGAGACCAGATCGGCGGGGACAGATCGACCGGTGACTGCACCTTCTTGGGAGGAGTTCGTTCCGGCGATTCGTCCTTCCATCCACCTTGATAGATCGGGAACGCGGACACCTGGTTGAGGATCCTCCACCGGAAATCCTCGTCGTCGCTTCTGCAAGGCGTCGCCTCGGGAGGCGGGTGGTGCGTAGGCGTCACGTTGTGGAACGGCGACCAGGATTTCGGCTCCTCCGGCTCTTGGACAGCGAAGCTCCCGCCCACGACGCCCTCGGACGGCGAGCCGTCGTAAGGGGTCCATTTGATCTCGCTGATGTGCTTCGGCTCCCGTTTCTTGATCCCTATGGTGGGAAGGGGCGAAGCGTCCTCGTACGGGGCCCATTTCGCGTTCGTGATCGTGATCTCGGGGGAGATCAACCTTCGAACGATCCTGTTCTCCAACCTGGTGACCTGGCGGGGATCCGGCTCCGGCGACATGCTCCTACGAATACTGTACTTGGGCCGTTCCTTCAAACTCTTGCTCTTGAACCCTCGCTCGACTCCTGACTCCTCCACTTGGAGTCCTTCCTCTCGACGGGCAACGAGAAGTGGGATTTCATGGCCCATTTCGAACGAGCCTTCTTCACCTCGTCGGGGCTGCTCACCTTCTCCTTCATCCCCCATTTCTTCGACGTCTGACTGTCGACCCTCGCGTGCGATCGTTCAAGCTTCGGTCTCTCCCTCGCCCTCTCGGTCCTCACTAGCCTTGTGTCTTCGCTCGCGTGCTTCTTCAGTTCCGGTTTCTCGGGCGGCGCCGGTTCCACGACCGGCTCCTCCTCCTTCCGCTCGACCGTCATCGACGCGGAGTAGTACAGTTTCCTCTCCGGCTCCTCCTTCGTCGTCGGCTTCTCCGCTTCTTGTTCCGGTGATTTCTTCGGCTCCGCGGGCGGCGAAGGCGCCAAGATCTTCGACTTAGGGCAGGTGCATCTTGGCTTCGGTTGGGCAACACCTCCGGCACCTGAAGCCACCTCGCCTCCCTCGCCATTCTCGTGTCGTCGCTGCTGTGCTTCCTCAGATCGTGCATCGGCGTTTTCAGATAATCCGGCTTGATCGACCATTTGTCCGTCTCCGCGCTGTGGTGTTTCCTGAGATCGCCTCGCTGCACGTCCTGCGACTTCTTGTCCTCCGGCGTCAGGCTGTGGCAGCTGCATCTCGTCCTCTTGGCCAGGTCCAGATCCGTGCTCGACGTGTGCAGGGCCCATCGAAACTCGGTCCCCTCGCTGGTGCGCTTCTTCAGATTCCAGATCTGCTCGTCGGGGGAGAGGAAGCTACCGTCGGCCCATCTCGAGTCGATGCTTCGATACTTGGGCAGATCCCGGCCGGCTGCGTCCACCTGCACGTCGCAGCTGCACGTTCTCTGGGTGGTGGGCGTCCTCTGGGACTCGAGGGGCGCCGACTCGATCGCGTCCAGGTCCTCGATGGCGAGCAAGATCTCCTCCCGCCGTTTCTGGCCACAGGACGGACATCGGCCGCTGGCCTCCCCATCGTCGCGGCTAGGTCGGTGATGATGGTGATGATGGTGATGATGATGTGGTTGTCGATGCAACGTCGAGGTCGAGGTCGATGCGGAGGGGTCAAGCTGCGGGGGCAGCTCCTCGTCGTCGCGACGGCCGTCGTCAGAGTGTCGTGACGTCGCAGCCGTGCCTGTCGATGCGCACCAGCAAGTGTGTGTAGCTCCGTCAAGCCGCCTTGGTGGGTACCGCGACTCCGGAGACGACGAGGCTCCGCTCGAGGCCGGTACCAGGCAGACTGCCTCGATCGCCAGCTCCGCACGCCTGTTTTCACGGTTTTCTCTCTCGATTATTCGGCCCCATTTTCATTATAATCTAAGTCTAGAGTTTAAAGACGAGGGAGATGCCGATGGAAAACGATGTAGCGAGGTCGTAAAGATCGATCGGACGATATACAAGATCGCTATGATTCGATGATACGTGGACGGAACTCGTGAAGTTTTAGTTTCACATTTTTCGAAAGATCGATTCTTCTTCCGTTCGATTCTGTTCTTTCGAGCATCCAAATCGGAGAATCGACGGGTACAGGCGTCGTGAATAATCAGGTTGGGCCAATCGATACCCGTTTCAATTCACGACCTCGTTGTATCGTTTCCAAGAATAATGGACAATTCGATATAAATGCACGAAGATTGGATCACAACGAATGAAGTACGAACCTTCAGTTCGGTGAAGACCTCCGTGAAGAATCCGGGTTCGCTGTTGATTCGCAGCATCTCGGAGCTTAACCGGTTCACGATCAGCAAGCACCTATCCCAGAACTTGTCTTTGCTGTCCTCGATGAGGAACGGTTTCAAGGGATAGCTGATCTCGTTCCCCATGTAGCTGTAGCTCAAGTAGAGGCACGTTAAAACCGTTGCTTGAAGCTCCCTTTCGGAAGCCTCGTCCCCGTCGACCAACTCTCTCACCAGCATATAAATGAACACAACGTTGGCGGGATTGATGAACGCGACATCCTGTTGGAAAACGTTTTCGCGTTAGTTTCTCATGTTATATGTACAGTCGTGACAATCTTAATTATTAATGGAATTTTACTTTCGAGAAATCGCTTCGACGAAATTAAATTCGTTGATTAAATTTCACTCAACGCTGAAAATAATCGAGACGATACCACTTTCAACAAGATTCTTTTCCCCAAAGTTAAAGGAACAACAACGAACAAGATTTCGTTAATGATTGAAAATAATCGAGACGATGCATTCCTAGTCCACTATCTTTATAAAACATCCATCGATGAAAAAATTCTTTCTCTCGAAGTAAAAGAATCCATCTTCTATCACAGAGTTCCAACGCAACGATGGGAAAGAGTTGTGCGACAACCTCGATTCGAATAGAATCGAATTCCTACGAGTACAGAGAGGGCCCTACGGACAGACATTCGATGCGCCTCCATTATACTTCCGCGCATTCAGGTGAGGTGCTTCTTCTTGGCTGGCAAGAGCGGCGCAGACGATACTCGTCGAGAATCGACCGGCAGAAAGGGATGATTCACGAGCAGTGTCACATTACGTGCCACGGTTGCGAAATTGCAATCGGCATTGTAGCACTCGATGTCAGTCGCCGCTCGATACCTCGATTGCGACAGGTCTTCTTTTCATCGCGCTCCCTCCAAAGGGAACGATATTTCGCGGCCTCTTCTTCCGCAATCTCGAACAACGCTTATCTTCTCGAGACCGAGAAGACTCTTTGCGGCTTTTGTCGGATCACTGTTTTTCGTCTATTCTCGAAATTGTGATGATTTCAAACATACGTACATCACCTTTCTTAGATGTTACAAAACGGAAGAAATAATTTCTTTTAAAATAAGTATGTAAATTTTGTCGAATTAATATTTTAAAAATTGACAAATTGTCTGATTTTTAATTATACTTCTCAGTCAATGAGAAATATTGCACAATCTATAGCAACACATTCTTCCCCCAGGACAGAACAGCGTACACGTTAATATCACGACCTGGACACGTCTATTTCCATTCACGCGTTAAATATTAACGACCACGAAGTTGTCTAATTTCGCCAGCTGTCCTTTATCAAAGTCGTTTTCATTGCTCCAGAAACGAAGTCCTCCGAATCATTAGCGAATTAGAACGTGGCGTGGCACGGGCAAAGTACATCGTCTCCTTAAGTGCTCTCAGATCAATTGCGGTTCCATTGATTCTAATGCATTCTCAATGGTGTCCATAATCGTGTGGCCGTATTCATTTTACACTTGTCTCGCTTATTTTCTTATTCGTAGAATGAGAATAAAATTGGAAGGGATATCAGGAGATAAAATAAAACGATTATAAAATCACCATTTTATTCATTCTGAAATATAATACTTTGCAAAAGTTAGATTTTCTTTTCTCTTCGCATCAGACGATGCTATGATTGAAAAATATTTTCTTCGACAACGAAGCTTACGAGAAAACAACAAAAGTTTATTTCTTAATTTCGATAATAGCATTGACAAAAATCGTGCAGCCGTTTTCGACACTTTGGATTCACAGCGAACAAAAAGATCAAGCGATTGAACGAATAAATAAAGATTTGAAATTTGCAACAATCTCATCAAAGCCACGGATATTTCAAATCAAGCCGTAATAAAATCGTGAGGAATATCGACAGCATTGATCCTGTCATCTCGATGCATCCATACGTGCAAGAAACTTTGTGCACGAGCGGAAGAACTGCCACGCCTGTGATCACCAGCGTACGTTTTAATTATCACAAAGCATTCGTTGTAATTGGACGATAACTCGAGGAAAGGGATGAGAGAGATTGCTCGAAGGGTCAAAGACTCGTTCCGCTTTGAATATAAAATTGAGAGAGAGAGAGAGAGAGTGTGTGTGTGTGTATGTGTGTGTATGAATAGATACGTAGGTCAAAAGAGTAGAAGAAAGTAGTGGATTAATGTTGAAAAAGGGTACGTGATTCACGATTCTTTCTTTAAATGTTTTAACGCTGTCGGATCATGACAATGCCTTGAAAGAAATTCAGCTTTCCTATATCTTCTTGTGCATCAAGTTTACTTATTGTAACGTTAACAGACAAAGGATTAAGTAAAGCTTAACATCCCGAAGTATCATCTTATATATTGCTATGAGAATTTATTAATAGGAAATAAATTCATAACTCGTAATTTTGTATTAAATATGTACGGATCTATTAGGAAGATCGTAATACAATACCAGTTAAACCAAAAGAGGACGATTCAAAATTAAGCCGAACATAATAAAATTTCACATTTTACAAAGGCTTGGAGAAAAATCAAATCGTAAAAATAGATAGATTCGCATATTATGGATGCAGCAATCCATTTCACTGTCAATTTTCTCGAAAACGAAGCCTTATATATATAGAAGCCTTACATATTATCATCTACATTCTCGAGTTAATTTTACAGAACCAGAATTCTCTAGAATGTTGCAATTTTTATATACGCTCAACGCACACTTCGTGCTAACGAAGAAAAGTCAATTGAAAAGTGTGTATTACACTCGAAAAATCGGAAGTTCGGTCGAATCGCAATAGATGTTTTCCAGAAATGTGTGTCGAAGAACGACAGTTAACGACGAGTTTCTTTGAAGTCTTCCTTAACGTTAACGATATCGCTCGTGACAAAGGGAGAGAAGAGTGGATGGAAAGAAAGCGTGGAGAAAGTAGCCCCCGTGAAAAGAGAGGCGAGCCGAGCCGAGTCGATATTGAGGAGCGAAAAAGGAGGAAGGGAAACTGTGCAAACTTCAAAAAGGAAAGAAAAAAAAAAGAGAGGGTCTCGCGGTAGCTAAGTTACAAAACATCGAGCTCACGACTATTATTAGCCCGACTATTTCCGTTTTTCAGGACAGATAATAGCTTTTGATATTAATTGGTCGTTGTGTGTATCGAGCATGGAGGGAGAAAGGAAGAGACAGAGAGAGAGAGAGAGAGAGAGCAGGGCAATCGTGTATGGCAAAGGAGGAGCAATTTATTTTTAAAATAAATACCTCTCCCGTGTACTCGATACACCACGGTGATATCACGTTTACATCGTTTCCACGTGTCTTGATCGCCTCACAGAGGCGTACACCTGCTTGGATGTAACATGGCCAAAGCGTTGGAGGAGGGTGGAAAAACGGCGACACAGAGAGCACGAGTATGAACAAAGTAGATATATTCGTCTTGGTCGATATTTGCCAGGGGTGAGCGGCCTGCATCCCTACTAGAACCGCTCTGTAACCGCTTTTCATTTCTCATCAGCTTATTAAGATCCAACGGTTCTAATTGAATTTTCCAGATTCTGTACATACGACGAGGAATTGTCATCAGGTGTCAACAGGCCTTTTAGATCTGTGTGATCAACGCGAGGAAATCATCGTCCGTCACCAGACGAAAGTGTCTCTTTGATGTTGCGTGTGTGTGTGTGTGTGTGTGTGGTATTCAAGGGATCATTCTTTTACGTCTGATTGAATTTGACGTGGCTGCTTTTGACGCGGTTATTTATAGAGAATGTTAATAATGATTCGTTAGATACATTTTTTCTCTCTTCTTCGAATATCATTTTTAAAGTGGTGCTTGACAATTCCTTGAATTTTGCAAGTTCTTTTTATTAATAGCTTTATCGCGATGCAGCAACGTATATCTCATCATAAATATAAATCTACATTCTCTACAGTGTCTCTAGTTGATTTGCTTTTTTATGAGAATCAGTGTTACATGAAGATTGAATGCTGTCGTATTCAAAAAGAATTCACAATGATAGCAAAAATTTTTTTCAAATAAAAAATTAATTATGCGTAAAGAAACTCATTAAAATAAAGAGGGAAAGTTTTTAACTTAGAGAGAAAATCTTTTCACGCGTTTGTCAAATACGATTATAACAACGTGTACATTAAATTATACAGCGAGAAAGATGGAACACGTGAGCACACGTGATTACGGATCACCACGGATATTTAAGAATCGAAATTTTATTCGGCTTCTTGTTGACAAAAACGAGATAAGAACGTATCTTTCGCGTCCTCTTTGTCGTCATATTGACCGCATTGCGAGTATGGAAAACAATTCCATCGGTGTATATGGTTTCCCTTTAACGAGATTCTCCGCAATGACGTTCAACCTTCTTCTATTTACCGTCTAGACAAAATGGATTAACGTTCTTACTTAAATGGTCTACGTGTTGCTCGTATCTCTGTGTTTCACGATCGTCAAACCCGTTCTCGAGTCACGTGCTTTTGCGCCAACGAGTAAACTTGTCAGAGAAAAGTGGATTGATATTAAATCGATCTCGCTTCAGATTGGAATCCTTCGTTGTGAATAAACCTACTGGAAGATTTGAAGAGTGACATCTAACGGATTGAAGGTTCGACGATGTTTCCGCTGGAGAAAGAGGTTATGCGAATACTGGAAACGAGAATGACGTTACTCTAGAATATTCCAATTGTAATCTCGCAATCAATTAGAATTATTGCTACCTCTACGTAATTCTATTAAAAAAGACACGTTTAGTTCATCTACCGAGGATTTATTTTTAGCAAATTGTTGGATTAATACGATCGTAATTTGTTTCCTTTTTCTTTTTTTTTTTTTTATTTTTATCTTCCTGTTTTCGTGGAAATATCGAATTTTATTTACTATAAAATGTGCGAGATCTGTCGACGCCCTCGATATGCAGCGTGTTTCTAGAACAGGCTGCATGTGTCACCCTTGACTGATTAGATTTGAGCACGTGCGCGATCGATTTGCGGTTCTACGTCGACAAGTAGAAACCTCGGAGGGAAGAGAGCGTGATTTCTTGTCGTTTTGTTTCTCCGCTATATAAACGAAGTAACATGTGTATAATTTCTACGAAAAATACGAGGCACCAAAAATAGTGAAATAAATATTTTTACCCTTACTTACTTAATAATTACATATTCGTGACTTGTAATTTTAGACAAGATTGTGAGATAGAGAATCACTTTACGAAATTTATTTTCAAATATATTGTATTTTGTGA